GGGAAGGATCAAAAGAAGTATGGAGAGTCTATGGGGTTGGGGGGTTGGGGGGTTGTGGGGCTGGTAAAGGAGACAAGGAGTAAGTGAGTGAGTGAGTAAGATTGTGTACTCATACTCGTGGCGTCTATAAGGGATATTTAAGCTTAAGTATTAAATGAGCTCTTAAGTACGGATTCTCGGGAGGGATACTTAATCAATACTTACGTAGAATAGAATTGGGTTTCGTGGGTAATTTGAGGGGGTGGAGTGGAGCAAGTGAAGTAGTGTGGAGTGGGGTAAAGAGTAGTAGGAGATAGAATTACTTAAATAATCCTAGATAATTGAGTCTTACTCAGGTATAGGTGTATATTATGGATATAGTAGGAGGTTATACTATATATAGAGGAAGAAAGATTTTCTTGTTTATTCTGGAGATGTGGGACTGAGAGTGGAAATTAGTTGAGATAAGCTGAGTTAAGTATTAATTTATTACTAGGTAACTAGCGAGGTCTTGTATAGATATATTGTAATGTAATATAAGGCTTTTGAGAATAATATAAAGTTTGTATTTAGGACATTAAATTAGGAAATTATAATGTTGTCTAGCTAAGAGTAGATGGAAGAAGTTAACATCGTGGTGTGTGGTTAGGTCTAAGTGTTACGTAGTGTCTATGTGCAGCGTTAAGCGATAAGTATATTCTAGATAATTGATTCAATTTACCCACGTAATTTAAGCGAGGTTAAAAGCCTTTGAGTTATGGGGGTTGGTTAGTATTACTCTACTCCAATTAGTGATCCTTTTACGCTGCTTGGCCGAGTTATACAGAGTGATTAGTGGGATAAAATGAAGTTTTTATAAGGTTCTATTATTCTGATATGAGATTTCCTAAATTCTACTTCTCCTTCTCTGTTCATAGAGCCTTCTCTTCATTTCCTGCTGCCGGGAATCTCCAAGTCAAGATATCATCTCTTTTTTATAACCCATTATTCCAACGTCCTTATGAGAACGGTACTTTTTACACTCACGAGACCTTTGAGCCAACCTCAACGTATATAAAATTACAACCTCTCCAAACCCCCCCTTCCCCATTCCAACTCACGCACTCTTCCCCTCCCTCTTCATCTCCTCCCTCACACTCTCCCTCAAAATCCCCGAAAGCCACCCAGCAGGCAACCGCCTCGTCACCGCGTGAAGCACAGCATGCGTCCACACCCCCTCCACAACATCCCACCCACACCCCGTCCTCCTCAACGCCGCCCTCGCAAAGTCCCTCGCCGCCGGCCGCACAATACTACACGGCGCATTCTCCGTCGCCGTTTCCGTCACTGAACTCGTCATGATCGCCAACACCTCAATATTCTGGCCTTCCGCGGCCATTTCCCGTGTTAGCGCCCGCGAGAAGGACGTCCCGAAGGCCTTGGTGGCCGAGTAGACGCTCAGATAGGGTGAGCCGATGTCGGCGATGGAGCCCATGGTTAATAATAGGGAGGGCTTGCGGTGGGAGAGGAGAAGAGGGAGTAAAGCGCGAGTGATATGCGCTGGGAAGCGGGCGTTGGCGTTGATTATGGCGTCGATGTCACTTGGTATGTCGTCCTGGAAGTTGGAGAATACATGTCCCGTAGGCCTTGTCCCGGTTCCCACGTTATTTATTAGAATCGTGAGATGTAGGTCTTGAATCTCGGCGACGATCTCTTTTATCTCTTTGTAAGAGGGGGGACCATATAGACAGGCGTCGCTGAGGACGGTTTTTATCTCGATGGATGGGAACTCGGTTAGCAGGTATGACCGTACGGAGCATAGTTTTTGGGCGTTGCGTCCGTGGAGGATGAGGTTGAAGTTTTGTCGTGCTAGCTCGTAGGCATACCCTTTTCCTATGCCGTCGCTTGCGCCGGTTATGAATGCCCAAGGAGGCTGCCCTGATGGCGAGGTGTGGTGATACCGTGCTAGGTTGTGGGGGTGTAGGTAGATTGCTAGAAAGCGATAGGTGTTTAATGCCCATCGGGAGATCCAGATTCCGCCTATTGTGGCGAGGATTGTGATTATTATGGCCATTTTTTTAAGCCCTTGGGGTTGGTGGGGGTGTGAGATGTGAAGCGAGTTTTGTTTTGGGGGAGGATAGATGTTACAGTAGATCTGTGAAATGGTTTGAGTTGATTTTTGAGATGGAGCAGTGGGGATGCGAAATACCTACACTGTGTTTGTGAATATTTTGAGACAATCTATACAGCCTTCTGTTTGTATGTATCTTATATAGCTTCTGAAATCAAATATCTGTTGATAGAAACGTTAGTCTTGAGACTCACTGCAGATATAAGAAATTTGAAAGAATAAGAGGAGAAAGGGAAGAAAGAAAGAAACAGAGTAAGACAACGAAGTGAAAAAAGAAAGAAATAGAAGAAGAAATGATTCCCTGTGTTTATGAGGCTCGAAAGTCCAACATGGAAGCTCTTCTGTGATCATTTCGTTCTAGATATACATTGATCGACATAACTCCAAACCATACCAGAAAACCAAAGACTTGGGGAAAAAAAGAACACATACATATTAAAGCTCTAACCTCCTGTCAGGACAACTCATTCCAAAATATAATAAAACAGTGCTCCAGCGCGTCGCGGTTCTATTTTACTTTTATATCAACCGACTAATGTGTCATAACCCTAGCAAGATTTAGCTTTCATACAAGAGGTAGATCTCCAAGCTTAAAAGGTACGAACCTTGTGCAAAACTCAAAAAAGATAAACACCGTAGATCCACACTGGTCATTCAAAGCTTCAGTGTTGATATGTAACTGATGTCACGAGTCTATTCCCCATCATCATATCTAATCAGCTGAAATTCAAACCATCTCATTCATTCCCCACCACCAAAAATCCTCGAGAGAAAAAAAAGAGTTAAGACATACCTTTCAACCCTTCCAAATCAAAACCCCGGAAAATACTTGAACCCCCAAAAAGCCAAAATAAATGTACCGATTCCTTCATGCAATGACTTCCCATCTCTAAGATCCAATTCCCAACGTTTGTCTTTCGCACCGGGTACGAGGACTCCGTACAAAGCGAAGCTTTTCTTTGTCGGCTGAGGCTGAGACACTAAGGACGGATAGGATGCGGTCCGGTGGAATGGTACAGTAGCGTGGGGATGGGAAATTTGGATTTGATCGGCTGACCTTTACATTATCGTTTGTTCGTTATTGGATATGTTTTTGAGAGTTAAGAGAGTATTTTTGGCGGGTACGGACCGTTTGTATTTTGTTGTACAGTACGTTGTTGTCGCGTTTGGTACTTGCTTGTTCCACAGCTATTCATCTGTGTTTCATAATTGTTGCTGCGGTCACGTGGTTTTGTACCAAGCCTCTGGTGCGTGTTTGAGGATTTTGCGGGGTAGTTTACTTGATGTGAGGTTGTGTTTCTGCTCCCTTTAAACGATTAGGGGTTTTGTATTATGGTAGTTATTGCTTGTGTCTTGATTTTGAGGCTTTATTGAGATCTGTAAGTATACCTGTGAGCGAAGTGGTGAAGACCTCGTCAGTCGCGACCTGCCAAGTATTGTATTCCACCTTCTGCGCTCTGTGACATGATTTTATAAAATTGATCTGTTGTTGCTTGAATTAAGCTGAATCAATAGATAAAGCCTTTTGATTCAGGAGAATGGAGAAGAAAAGAGGAAAATCAAGTTTGTTCTTGCGCATGTTCTGGACGGAAGCTTCGTACTCACTTATGAAACAAGCGAGGAATTGTGCGAAAGTCGTCTATAGTTATGGTTTCCACCTACATTCACTCATGGATATTTAATTGGGGCTTTGGAGGTCTAGGTGAGACAGTTTAGGATTTCAAAGTCTCTTAGAGGAAGATAGTACATATCCACATACTCCTCCAGAATCCCAGTTGTTCTTCTAGTTATGAATAAAACTACAACTAGATATCAAAAATAAGTTGCGCTTTCTACAGCGCTGGGAAGTAAAGTGTTTACTCTAATACATGAAAGAGAGAACTTGTTGCCTAAAATCCATCATCACTTTGCGAATTTCTTACGCGATTTTGTCGTATATACCAGTGTTTACTCCCGATGTATCTCGCTTAACTGCTCATATGATATATGCTATTTCCTTTTGTGGGCTTGCTTCATAGACTTCACCAAGCATAGTATTCCAAAGAGGAAACTTGTTACTTCCAGACTACTCATAGTGAATAAATACATACACGCTGCGCAATGATCCTGGCAACCATGCACTCGGCCCATTGTTAAACATAGATAACTAGGCCATTGCATACCTTCCTTATATTTCCTCGTCAACAAGTAATCTACACATCGACCATCTTCGAAATTCAGCAAGACGAGAAAACCCCCCCGGAATAAACGCTCACCTGAAACACAGCACAGCATATCCCCAAAAGCAAGACCAGACAGATCCGACTACTACCACTTATATACACAAAGCACCCACTAAACAGCCTCCTCATCTACCCACGACATATTTTCCACCGTCAAGACCGCTTCGCCCACAACCCAGGTATACCCATCGCAAGCCTTCCTACCAATACCCAGATAGACATCACCGAGGTATTTCCTGCGACTGTTATTCTAGATCTTTACGAGTTAACTCAAGAGTCGTTGAAAGGATGGTATGTGCACTGTGTGGTTTAATTTAGATGTTATGCTTATTGGGATTTAGGAAGATTCATTCAGCACGGGTATGTGGTGACTGGGAATACGACGAGGTTTCTTATGAGGTTGCTTATGTTTGGTTTGTCAAGAAACAGGAGGGTGATGTGAATGAGGTTTTGAATAATGCTAACCACAACGATGATGGTGCTCGCCAAGCAGAAGAAGGCACTGGTCATGGAGGCAGTGATCTAGGAAGAGACGTATCACGATACAACGAGGCACATGCAGAGAATGGGCACGAGAATGAGATTTCTGGTCTCAAACTGGCAGACTTCCTTCCAGCTACGTTCATGGCTAGCCAAGATACAGCCGTGCCAATAACTGATCCCTTTCATCCTCGACCATCGAAAAATCTCCTCTCGGGATTCGGAAAACCCTCGACCCTTTTTTCAAAGTTTCCTAGTTTCGGAAGTCCTCCACGCAATCTCTTTGGTCGGACAACATCACGTCCTGCCAATAACCTCTTTGAGAGTCCTCTACAACATCTATGGGTTGCCTCACAGTTAGCCGATTGTAGCGGGAATTGTAACGAGTTTAGAGGGTAAAGAGCAGGAGTAACGAGATTGTAAAAGAAGTAGTTATATTAAGTTAAAAGCTTGCTTAATTATATGGGAGGGAGTACGAGTTTATATAGTACTAGCGCGTATGTCCCTCGGCTAATACCTGAAAGAGCTCTACTATAAAGGAAGTAGAGCGCCCCTTGTAACCTACTATGTAACACACCCCTTAGGTACGCTAGGACTAATACTATCGCCGGCCTTTAATTCTTTAACCTCTAGACTACTACTATAATAATACTATAATACTAATACTATACCCTATTAGTCTAAAGCAGATCGTGTTACGCGTACTCTAAATACTTATATTACTAAAAATTCAAATATAGGCGTAAGTATAGTCTTATTATAAGTAGTTTTAACCTTATAAACACGCCTTAATATTTATGATCTAAGATCTAGTTTTTAAGCTTTACCCTACTATTGGGTTATTATTATTATTATTATTATTCCTTTTAACGTGCTGTGTGAGTCTGAGACTATAGTAGCACGGCTGGGGGTTTCCCTCCAACAGATAAGTAAAGCTGTACTAAATACATGTTTGAGAAGGGGGTTATGGTCATTACAGTTCTTGGGTTGTTGGAAGCAGCTAGGCTTCTGGTTATGATAAAAGAAAAGTTGTTATGTTGTAGTACGCCCCCTCGTTTCACGCTCTGTACGCTACACTTCCTCGTTCTCGTCTTCCTCGT